AAAAAAATACATCAATCGGGATTCGTACCCGGGGTCAAGCAGCGTTATAACCTAATACTCTACCAATCCATTCAACGAACCTTGCTAGATGTTTTTATTGTACATCGAAAACGAACACCCATTCTGAAAAAAGCCAAAATGGTTTTGCAGTACTACATGCGTACTACGACCCCCATAGGGTCGTTGCAAAAGTTAGTGTGCTTTTTCTTATGTAATTACGTATATTCAAAAATAATGTTCATAAACGTTTTACCTTTTTTATTATACAATATTTTTTACATTGCATACTATCATTACATTCCATAAATAACAATTAGTACTTTATTATTTTCATACCATATTACAAATATCATATCAGTTGTTTATTATTTACTACCTTGAAATTATCGTAACAGACTATTCTGTATCAATTAATTGCAATGCAATATAAACAACCTTAACATATACATGACGTTTTTTAACAATATAATATTGAATATATATACATATGCAAAAGTAAAATATATAAGCTCAGGCGCTTCATACTTTTAGTACGGTACTGAACCATGCTGAAAGGCATTTTTAGATTATCGGCACACCAGCAGCAGGAGAGACGACACCAGCGCTGTGGTGTGCTGTGGCGGAGAGCGTGAAACTCAAGTCATTGTGCAAGCGCATCAGTCTTCTCGATTTCATAACGACAACACCATTGTAATTTTATGAGGCGAGGAAGCGACCTTTCCGGCTAATTTTTTTTTTAAACTGTTCCTTATAAAATACCGTTGCGGGGGACAGTTACACATTTTGTAATTTCGCTTTTGAAACTTGCTAAAAATACGTTCAAAGACAAGAAATTTTTTTTTTTCAAATTTTTCCAAAAATCGCTTGACGAGACGATAGATTTACTTCCCCTGATTACGAAATGCATAATTATTATATGTTTTTTTTATTATTGTGCCTGAAAATGGGAAAGACTATCTAGTAGTTCACCTACTTTCTGTTGGTGGCGCCAGTTTGTCTCTTGCGCACCCTGAACAAAAAGCAAAGACGTTTATTCGGTCGACTCGTTTGGTTTAAAAATCGTTTCGTAGTTTGTTCCCATAGGTTCGATTACGATTGATCTCTCTGGAAAAATCTTCGCTTGATCTGCTGCTTCTCTCCCTTCTCCGGAAGATTCCCGATCCTCCCTTCGGGTTGTCCTAGTCCAATCGGGGGTTGCGCCCTACTCCTTCTATCAGTGATCTTCATCGATCTCGGATCCACCCACGAGTCGGGTGGAGGTGTGAGTCGCGCGGCCATGTTTGTGCAGGGCTACATGTGAAAAGGGAAATCGCGGAGGTCTAGAGAGAGAGAAAACGCGCCAGCGAGACACAGCAATCCTTAAGGAAATTTATCTTATGAGGATCTTATGAGTTGGAACAAAAGCTAACTTAACTCGAATTCTAAAGAAATGCATTCCAACGAAAACGGCGATTCGACACGGCCTATAATGAATCTATCAAGTATTTTCAGCGAACGTTCCCTTTTGTCTCCTGACTTTCGACTTTCCCACGCTTGATCACCCACGTCGAATGTTTTAACAACGTACGTGGCGGTTCGTTGATTCAATGCGTTAATCCATTTGAATTCCGCTCCTAATTTGCATATAAATATACACTACATGCGGTAGTGTTTAAGCTATTCCGCGTTGTGGCGCTACATGCCATGAAGCTAAGTTCACGTGATAGCGTAACAATAGCATCACAATAGATTTTCAAAAACAGGTTTTTGACAGATAGGCAAATTTAGCTGTGTTAAACCAGGTGTGGTACACCAAAAAAAACACACCCAAATATAGCTGAGAAAATGTTTCATTTAGTGAGTTCCTTTGAACCAATAATTATGAAAAGAAACAAATTATACGAACAAATAACCTCTTGGAAAGTTAGCATCGATGGTGGTGGACAAGCCAATCAGAGCCCCCAAGCTCTACTCTTGTGACCATGAAGTCCGATTTAATTCGGGCCCCCAGGGTTTGGCGGCGCCAGTGTCACTCTTTTACTTACTATTAAGTTCATATTCTGTGTAAGTTTATTCTATGATGTATGCACCCGGCAAAATTTGAACTCCACCTCACACCATATATCCATATTTGGTCACTGAAACATACGAACGTTTTCAATTGTTTCGAAGCTAACCGCACGATCGAACGAGATCAATAATTCAACGATTGGAACGATTGGATGGAATTCAACGATTTTACTAAAGGCATGGACGATAAAAAACGGTAAATAATTTTTAAAGTATATTTAACAAATTTTTAATGAAAATATTTAATAAATTCTATTAATATCAATTAGCACCTACTGCATCTGTCAAGCCACAGGAGGAAACTGGGATAGAAATTGAAGAAGAAGAAGAACGTAAGTTTTTGATCTCTATACATATACATAACATTTATACACTACATGTAAATGAGAAGACCTCCAATATTTAATGTATATACAATGTTATATAATTTGGTTAATATAGATCAACCCGTGGTCACCATTGGATGCCAGGACAATGTGGGACTTCAGGACAGCGTGGGACTGAAGGGCTTCATTGATCCTGATACCAGTAGAGACTCCGGCGCCTATAATGTGCCTCCTGGTTCATCCAGGGTTAGTGTACTAAATTAAATCGGGCTTCATGGTCACAAGAGTAGAGCTTGGGGGCCCTGATTGGCTTGTCCACCACCATCGATGCTAACTTTCCAAGAGGTTATTTGTTCGTATAATTTGTTTCTTTTCATAATTATTGGTTCAAAGGAACTCACTATTACCTTACAATAATATTATCTTCTATTGCATTCCTTTTTTTAGTTATGATAGGTATTCAGTATTATGTGTGTCATTTAAAAGGTGCTTCTATTAATTCTTCGTTACAATTACAGATTGTGCTGTCCAAAGGGGTTGATTCCAAGCAGCCAGCAGGAAATGCTATAAAGGTATTAAGTATTTTTTTTATTATATATTTTATTGCATTTTTTATTGCATTTCTTGATTATATATTTTTATTGTACATTTTTCCGTATTTTTATTGTATATTGTATTTTTGTATTATATATTTTTATTGCATATTTTATTGCATTTCTTGATTATATATTTTTATTGTACATTTTACCGTAATTTTATTGTATATTTCATTGTATTTTTATTATATATATTTTTTAAATATAGCGTATGTATATTTTTATTATATATTTTATTATATTTTTATTATATATATTTTTTATTGTATATTGTACTGTATATTTTTATTACATCTATGTATAATAAATTTAATTTCATAAAGTAGGCCCTTTTTTCCTTCCTTTACTTTTTATTCAGTTTCATTTTAAAGCAGGTACAAATACACATATATAGAACCATGTTGTTGTGTGTGTGGCTCACTAATTATGTTGTATGTGATAGTAACGACACTGGCGCCGCCAAACTCGGGGGCCCGTATTAAATCGGGCTTCAACGCGAAATACAGTAGCTTGTCGGCCCTGAAGCCAATGACAACGTAAATGTAAAGTTGAATCTGGGAAGAGAAATAGAGAGGGGAGCCATTCCGGTTAAGGTGGCTCCCCTGGTCTTTATGGACAAGTTCAACTTGTATAGGGAAAATATTATTGTTGCGAGTCCGTGCGGTTTTATTTTTAAGGACTTAGGGTTCTTCTGGCGTTCACGCCGCACGTGACAAGATTATTAGAAGTGCGTGCGACTTAGCCAGGAATAAGTTAATTTAAGATAAATTAAGGGTGCGTAGGAATCAGAACAGAACTCCGAGTTGACTTCAGCGACAGTTGCGGAAAAAGTACGAAACTCCATATAAAATGAAGATTGCAAACGTATATTTATTGTTTATAAAGTTTTAAAGCCGAAATTGCAAAATCAGGCCTTGGAGTCGTATCCGTCAAAGTGTAACGAATATATTAAAACCAGAATTATTAGAAAATATTGCTTCTTTGCTTCAATATCCTGGAAAAAAACATGCTAGCCTAATCGCTCTGTCCTCGTCTCTCCTACAACTTTTATATCGCCCTCTCTGTCCTTGTCTCGGAGTTTCCTACTTTTTCCGCAACTGTCGCTGAAGTCAACTCGGAGTTCTGTTCTGATTCCTGCGCACCTTTAAGAAATGTAATATGAACTTTATTATAACTGTTTAAATATAACTAATTTAACACAAAAGTTGAATTTCTTTACTTTAAATACAAGCTTTTACAATAGACGTCTATACTAGTTAACGGTCGCTAAGCGAGTGAGTATTAACAAATTGTTTTAAATAAAATGCAATCAAAAAAAAAAAAACGAAATACCGTAAATTCAAGAAAATCATTGTTGGCGCCAAACTAACTTCAAACAGAATTGCCAAACGCAAAAGCTTATTCACATTCCATAACAACGGGCAAACGGCTTTCCGCTGCCATCTAGGAGTGACATGGGAATTAATTTATCTCTATCAAAAGTAGCGATACGCAACACTATAATTCTATACACAGACGGATCCAAAATCCCTAACAGCTTGGCTAATGGGGTGTCGTATGTAGAGCAGAGAAACAACAAGTATATAAAAAATGGTTTATCGGTCAACACCGCTTTAACAATTTACGCAACGGAAGCGATCGCGATATTCAACGCTCTGAAAGTTGCGATTCAATCCGAGAAGGAAAATATATTGATATTGTCAGATTCGATGTCGGTTTTAATTTCGATTGAAAACTTTATAAACGGTTGCAAGGTAAAGCCTAAGGGAAAAGATAATGACTGAATAGATAGAATTTGCAAATTAATATATACTACAAAGAATAGGAAAATAATATTAAGGTGGATTCCTGCTCACGTGGGAATTCCAGGCAACGAGACTGCAGACGAAACAGTAAAAAAGTAGACAGAAATAGCATACCAAATAGAAGGAATAGTTCCATATTGTGATTTGTCATTAAAGATTAGAGAGATGATTTGGGATCAATTATCCAATAAAGTAGAAGAAATAGGAAGAGAAAAGGAGACACTGTATTTCGAAAATTTGTGGGAAATTCAAAAAAAGAGTAAATTCAAGCCGTGGTTTTACAAATATAGGAAAATCTTGAGCAGAGACGCGATAAGATCGATTTCGAGAATTAGGGCGAACCACTACAATCTAAAAGAGTCCTTAGGTAGGAAAGGAATTGTAGATGATAAAAAGTGCGAATGCGGTCAGGGAGAGGAGACGATAGAACATGTCTTGTTCGAATGATCCTTTTACAATGTACAGAGATTGAACCTGTATGGCAAAATAGGTAATGAAATCGAGGAAACAGGCGAAAATATATGGTTTGTTATTAATGGACAAACTTAAAATATACAAAGCCATTTAATCCTTCTTGGAAGAATCGCACCTTAAAATGTAAAAAAAAAAATTAATTAACCATTAAGGAATAGGATAAAAAGCAAGTAGTAGGACAAAATGCCCGGTATATTAAAAAAAAAAGAAGAGTAAGAGAAGCGAAATAGAATACAGAAATGATGTCAAGTCAGAAATACGAAACATATAAAGTAACTAGAATATTTAAACTTAGCGGCAGTATAAGGAGGGGGAATTAGAATAATGAAGTCAGAATAAAGACAATAAAGATTAAATGGAAGAAATGAGAATATAGTTAGAATAAGTTTATTTAAGTTCATTGAAGTAAGTGCAAGAATGTAACAAAATTGTATTTCACAGGAAGAGTGTACACTGTCCGACAAGACAACACTATAATAAAGAAAATAAAATGAAATGGAGTGTAGCAAAACTACACACGAGGGATAAGGAAGAGTTCTGTGGAAATTCGCAGGTATAAATAAAAACTCTTATTTATGCGCTTACGTATGCATCTACTCTTTATGAATACTCTTTCGCTTCTGGGATAGCGCGTCCTTTTTAAGCATCGCAGGGGCGCGTCTAACGTAAGGTTTACCAACTACTATGTACAAAGAATTAAACTAGTGACTAAAAATACTTAACCTAACTAAAACTAGATGGCGCTTGCTATTTACACTATGTGCGACCTTGGTCGCTACAGGAGACCGCCACAATGGCGATACCTGGATCAGGTCTCAATAAGAAGTGTATGCAAAATTAATAATTCTCGAGTGTAAAACACAATTAGTGAGTAAAGAGTGCGCGAGGAAGGAGAACAAGATCCACGGACAATAAAGGGTTAATAGTTTGAAGAAATACTGGGAAGGAGCAAGTTCATGAAGTGTTAGCAATCACATATAACCTCCCTGGCGGGACCATGCCTTGCCGCCGGAGAGTATAAAAATCCAACCAAGAAGGGAAAATGGAAGAGAGGCAACCCCAGGCGAGGAAAAAAATTGTGGCGGTGAATGTCCCTACGGAGGATATTCTAGGAATTTCACTCAAAGCAGAAAATAAAAAAATAGAGGACCATGTGAAGAGGCCTGAACTCAGGCCCATCACAATGAAACTAAGATTAGCCAAAAATCGCAAGCGCCTACTGGCGTTAACATCAGAATCAACAAGCGAAGAAGAAACGACGGCCAGAAGTAACTGTGGCACGAGTGAAGAAATAGTAAATTACGGAAAAGATGGATTCGGCGCGAATAAGGGTAAAAAAAAATGATAAGAGAGTAAACTTAACGGAAGAATTAGAATTTAAGGGAGAAGTAAAAAAAAGTTTATAAAAAACAGGTAGGAATTACGGAAAATATTCTATTAAAAGAAGGGTTAGAAACGGACGAAAACAAGCCAGAAAATCTGCCAAGTGGTAAAGAAAATGAATAAAATAATTTTTTGGAAAAAAATTTAACCGACTTCAAAAAAGGTACAGTGAAAAGCATGAAATAATTTCTAGTTAATGTATATGAATATGCACTAGCTCTAGATATAATTGCTTAAAAGTATGGGAAAATGCAGTGAAAAATGTGAAATAATTTCTATTTAATTCTTTACATCATATTAAATGCAATGCATCTTTTTCGAAGGCGGTGCAAAATTTAGAATTAAGTATATTAAAAATTACTAAACTTGGTTTAACTTTCTGTCGGAGAAACAAAAAATATGGTCTTTATTTATTGCTATCATTACATCCACTTTGATATCATATTCATTAACACTATTCAATATCGCCGCCGCCACCAAATACTATCCTAAACCTATTCAGACAGTATTTCCATGTGGAGAGTTTATACATTAGCAGTAATCAATATGGCCGCCACTCCCCTCCAAAAAAGCCCCAAAACTACTCACACTATATTTCCGTGTACATACTATATACATTAACTATTAATTCCACATAGACAGTAAACATGTATACATTGACAGCACTCAATATTGCCGCCTCTACCAAATCTAACCCAAACCGGAATTAAAAAATTTTGACATCTGCGCCGCCTCCGAAAAAGGTGCATTGCATTTAATATGATGTATTCAATAATTTAACCAAATTCATCAAACGATGGTGAATAACAATGCAATTTAAATAGAAATTATTTCACATTTTTCACTGCATTTTCCCATACTTTTAAGCAATTATATCTAGAGCTAGTGCGTATTCATATAAATTAACTAGAAATTATTTCATACTTTTCACTGTACCTTTTTTGAAGTCGGTTAAATTTTTTTCCAAAAAATTATTTTATTTTACTCTTTTTAGTGGCAATGTATAACCAATAGGTTTCATGCAATAACAACAGTTATGAGCAATATACAGGATGACCCAAAAACGTTGGAGGTCCTTGAAAAGACTTGTTCCGCGGGGGAGGGGGGGGGGGTTGATACAATTTTTCCTTAGCGAAAATGTTGCTCGAGGCTTCGTTAAGAAGATATTCCAGAAACAGAAACTCCCGACCAATCAGAGCGCGAGTATGCCGGTGGAGCGCCTGCGATAGCACATTTTCGCTAAGGAAAAATTGTTTCAAATCACCCCCCACTCCGAAACACCCCATTCAAGGAGATCCAACATTTTTTGGACACCCTGTATAATTGCAAATGGGATTATCAAGAATACATGTGGAACTACATGGGAAAGGATTGATTGCGTTTGGTAAATTCCTTATTGAGCTACACCAGAGCATAGCAAGTTTGCACCAACAATGGTTTTAAACAATGAAAGTGTCCATCAATTTTTGCAAATGGGAACATCACGAATTCATCTATCATGAAAGGCGGAAGGTTCCATCGCGCTCGGTAATTTCCTCACCGAGTTACATCATATAATAGGAATTTTGCGATAACAATAGTTATAAACAATACAGAAATTCATAAATTTTTGCATCTGTAATCATTGCGAAAACTTCTCCGGCAGCAAAATGTAAGGGGTTTCATCGATTTCATCGGTTTCAGGCTAAACATACGTGAAATAGTACGCTTTTTGCGATAAAAAGTGATATAAAGTGGTAAAAAATAAGACAAGGACAAATGTTTTGCTATGGGACCAAATGGCAAATGCTCTTCCAGATGCAAGGAGTTTCAATCTGATTGGTCCATCCCTCTCGGAGTAAGAAGCAAGACAAAATGTTTCTGTTAAAAAAAAAAAAAAAACGGGTAAAAAATGACAAATCACAAAATGTTTCTTTTACGCGACCAACTGGAAGAAATATTCGACAAGATGCAAGAGGTTTCACTCCGATTCATCAAGCCATCTCGACGTAATCGGCAAGCATACCTAAAAATCAAGGTTCTTTGGTAAAAATACGGGTCAAAAATGACAAATCGCAAAAGTCTTGACAGCAGGATCCTCGGGGGAACATGCTCTACAAGATGCAACAGGATTCATTTCGATTGGTCAAGCCATCTCGGCGTAAACGGTGAACAAACATTTAAAAAAAAAAAAAGTATACATGTCGAATTGAGTAACCTCCTCCTTTTCGAAGTCGGTTAAAAAGCGATATCAACGGAACCTGACTCATTGAACAAAGAAGTTGGGCTAATAGAGATACAATATGTAGGAAACAATTACATAAATATTTTCAGATTTATTCGACCAAAGATCCAGTTAGTGGAATCTATAAAAATGATAAATAGAAGGACCGCTGAAATCCGGTCCAACACACATTAGAGGCGGCAGAGAGATATTTGAAACATTTGAAGACATGGACAAAAAAAGATACAGTGTAAGAATCCCACGCCGTACAGAAGAAAGATGGGGACTGGTACATGAATGGGATTATTCACCTAAGGAACTTTTAGAAGAAATAGTCCCCGGCCAAAATGTGAAAGAGGTAGAAAGGCTGAAAAAGAGGGTAAAAACAGATAAAGGCTTCGAATACAGAAATTCCAACTTGATCCTTGTAAAATTCAACGGAGGTAGCCTACCAACCAAGATTCTCATTTTTGATGGTTACGTTAATCTAACAATAAGACCTTTTGTGAAGAATATCAAGCAGTGCTATGGTTGCTTGAGATTTGATCATGTGAAAAAATACTGTAAGAGAGGACGGAGAAAATGTTTTAGATGCGGTAACGACTACCATGAAGAATGCACCAAACCTGAGAGGTGTGTAAACTGTGAAGAAGACCATGGTTCATTGGATAGAAAATGTATTTATGCACAATTGGAGATAGATATTACTAAGCTTATGGCCTATAAAAATATCTCGTTAGTGAAGCAAGGGAGATAGCTAAATTAGAACTGGGTATCACAGAAAGGAGAAGACCCAACCCCCCCCCCCCCCAGACTTCAACAACAGGCTAAACGACAATGACTTTCCTAAACTACAACATATTAAAACCCAAGTAAAAAATATTGAGAAATGGGAGAGCAGACCCTGCCCAATTAGAACCTCGTATTGGGACAGCGGAGCAGAAATAAAACACAAGCAGATGAAACTAAAAAATAGATACGAAGTCCTTAAAGAAGTAGGTCCAACAGAGACCACAGGTATCAAACAAAGGATTAAAATAAACCAATTGACGGGAGATGAAAGAAATGGCAAAAGTGAAATAGCATATAAACTTTTAAATAAGTCCAAGTTTAACAAAAACAGAAATTTTGATAATAACGATAAAGATTGGGAGGAATTGCTAGATTGGATAAAAATAAATAATAGAAAGAACTTTATAATTGACCAACTTAACTCCAAAAGGAAATTCCAAAAACCATACAATAAAACAATAAGAGAAGGAAACAAGGACAAAAGAACCACGTATATCAAACAAAATTACAATCACAGCGAATCTCCCAAACAGTTTGAAGCAAGAGCTAACTCGCACAACATCAACCATGAAACACAGGAAGAACATAATTACATGAGAAAAAATCAGGAGGAGCCAAAGAGGTATCAAAGAAATACGTACTCTCAGAGCTTCCCAATATCAAGCCGCCATATGAGGGAGAGGGATAACAAAGATCTTTGTATCCCACAAAGGAAGTCCTTTTTCAATGATTCTCAATTAAAAGAAGATTTCAAACACACCCCACCAATACGAGTTGCAACCGAAACACCCAAGCTCGATGAGGCCGGGGAAGGTAACGAAAATATGGAAACAGAACTAAAAATAGGAAGACAAGAAGAAGTTACAACGCACGGTAATGGCCAAACGAGGGAAAATGAAATATCGGTAACAGAGGAGTACTCAGTTACTCAGAACATTATCGAGGAATCCGATTCAGAGACATTTAAATCTACGGACTCCTTAATAAATATAGATTCAGTCTAGGACTTCCCTCCAAAAAACAATAAGGAGTAAACTAAAAGGAGATGAGACCAAACAGAAGACTGTAATGAAATAGCACAGGGAACACAAAACGTGTCGTATTTTTTAAAAATCGAGACCTGGAACGCACATTCCGTGAGCAATAAAACCACGGAGCTACAGTGAATTATACGCGAATACGATGTCCTATGCGTATGCGAGACGTGGATGAAAGCTTACAACGGGAAAGATTTAAAAAACTACAAAGTCTTTCACAACAAAACAGAGAACACGAACAATAGTAAATTATCAGGACAATATATAGCAGCAGGGAAAGGTTTACTTATAGTCTATAAGAAATTAGAAATTAGAAATTAGAATCATAGAAGAAAAGTATGTAGAAAAAAAATACGAATTTATTAATTTCACGATTTCCGACGACCGCGGTCAGGAGATAAGCGATATCAGACTAGTATACAGATCACCGCATAAACATTTAAATATACAGGGTTGGAGGAATCTTTTTTGTGATCGATATTTGAGAAACATAAGAAGGGAGTGAATGAGATCGAAGCGAGAAAGTATGTTCGGATATAAAGCAACCTGTAAAAAAAAAAATGTTAACAAAAATGTGATGTAATCAACTAGAGAAAGTATTAGTGAAATAGTTTTGATATCTGTATAAACTGATCACTTTAATAAAAGAACTGAACTGAACTGATGGCGCCACCGGCGCGGAATTTAAATTTTGGGGAGTTGCGTTGAGAACCGTGAAGTGGATGGTAAGCGCCAACGAAGGTCCTGACAAATTGAGAAATTAACGCGGAAATAAGCAAAGAAAAATTCAAGGAAGAACGTCATAAGGAAGCTAAAGAGGAGAAGAAGAGATAAGGAGACGGGGGGTGCCGAAAGACGCTGTCTAGTACCGTAAAAAACTGTAATTCAGGGAACTAGAAGTGAAAAAATATTGTAGAAGGGCTATGGATAATGAAATGAAGAAGCAAACAGCGACGCCTAGCGGGCAACCGCGATTGGTAGATGTAAAGGTACTCGGTTCGCGATCCGAATTGGGAAGCATGCAAAATTGCAGTTTTTCGACTTCTCACGCCTTTTTCGGAAAAACCCGGGCGTTAGGTATCAAGAGATACCGGCGTGAGTAGCCGAACTTCGCGAAGTCTACCGCGGCTAGCTACCTGAATCGCGGAGAGAGGCGTGGATCGTCGGTAAGGAAAGGAAGCCTAGGAAAGCCATCTCCACGGCAAGACGGGGCGAATTAAAACAGCATTCGTTAACTCTTTGGGGCACGGTGGGATTAAAAGTGTCCCACCTTTTTGATGGACCGTAATGCATGGTGGGACATTTTTAATCTCACCTCGAAAGTTTGCAATAGCTGCATGTGTATTGATTTATATTTCGTCTTATTTACGTAAAGCAGTTGATAATATATTCATCTAATGTTACAAATGTATGCACTTATGTTGGCAACTTTGAACATGCTAATACCGGTTCAACAATTGTTGTAAGCGGAAGGTTTATTGTGATAATATTTCTTTCCTGGTTTTATGTGAAAAATCGTAGAGGTAAGTTAATTGATATAAAAATTAGTTCTATATAAACAACTGAAGTGTTTTATAATAAAAACTAATGATTAAATTTGTTTGCAAATGATGAAAGTATGGTGCGATTTTATTCGTCCCACCATGCAACTTGGGGAGTAATATAAAAAAACATTGTGTTTCTTCAATTCTACAAAATTCGGTGTATGTTGCCGAGCTGCCGTGCTATCGAAGGTTACCGGGACGACCGGTAACCGACACGAGAACTACGTTTTAGTCAACACGTGTTCGCTTCGTTCGCGATAGCCCAAATTCCATCGCATTTCGCACAAAAGTGACTTTGGAAACGATGTTCGGACAGTCATGACGCGGTCGCGAAGGGCTCGACCTTCTCGGCGGGACTTGGTAACCAGCAGCGGTCAAAACACCACGCGCGTTACAACGTGTTCGCGACTAGATGTTACTCGTTCGTTTAGATGGTCTACGAAATTACGATTTAGAACTAATTACGCTAATCCGACCGACGGGGTGCTCGGCAGCCACCAGGTAACTCGATTAATCCAAAATACCCTATCCAAGAACGTGAGGTAAAGGAGGAAGCGCTTACCGTACTGACTCGCACGTGGTCCGTTTCGGAATAGAACGAGGTAAGCGTAGAGCTGTCGCAAAGACCGAATATTCAAGCGGCTTCCAAGCCGAGTTGGACTCGGCTCAAAGTTACGAGCCGAGTCGAGTACTTGAGTAAACCGAGTAGCTTGAAAGATTCAAGCTACCCGAAAGAAACCAAGTAACTTGAGTTTTTCAAGCTACCCGAATAGAACCGAGCGGTCCGAAAAAACCAAGCGGCCCGAAAGAACCGGGCAACTCGAATGGTTTCAAGCTTTTCCGAGTACACATGTTAGTCCCCCTCCGGGCAACAATGGTATCATAAAAAGGATGTAGCAAACTAGACCCAAAGAAGGTCGACCATCATTTTCCGTATTTCTTATTGGATCTTAACGGATGTATTACCAATCGATTCCTTATGTTATCCCGATAAAAATGATACCAGACACGATACAATTCGGATTATTTAGAAGGAAATTATACAGACAAAATGATTTGCACGCTTTTTGTCTATCTTCGTTAAAAATAGTCCGATTTACATAGTGTTTAGTAGCGTTTTCATCAGAAAAATGTAAGGAATCCATCGGCGTCAGTCCCGTAATAATACGATGCATACGAAGTGAAATCGGGTGATTACTGAAAGCCATAAACCAAGGGTTCAACCATCCAAAGCGCACGTGTGCCGACTTTAACCCACGACGAACCTCAAAGGGTCCGAGCATTAAAGTGTAAAATGTTTGTCATGATATGTTCACTTTTTGTTGTGTTTTATAAAAGTTAAAGAAATCGAGAAGGGAGGGATCCCGGTTAAGGTGGCTCCCCATGCATTTCTGGACAAGTATAAATTGGATAGGGAAAAAACGGTAATCTTTTACACAGATGGTTCTAAAGTTCCTAATGCTTTGGCCAATGGAGTCTTGTTTGTGGAACAAAGAGATAATAACTTTATCAAAAAAGGCTTAGGAGTCAATACAGCTTTAACGATTTTTACGACGGAAGCGATCGCGATCTTTAACGCGCTGAAGGAAGCAATCAATTGCGAGGAAGAGTTTATATTGATTTTATCCGATTCAATGTCAGTGCTCACGGCAATAGAAAATCATAAAGACAAAGATATTGTAAAAACTAGTAGTGAAGATAACGGATGGATAGATAAGATATGTAAATTTTTATACACAGCAAAAGACAAAAACATGACATAGGGTGGATACCCTCATATGTTGGTATGAAATGGCAGACGAAACCGCTAAAAAATATACAGAAATAGCGCATGAGGTAGAAGGGATAGTCCCTTTTAGTGATTTGGCAATTAAGATTAAGGACTTGATCTGGGAACAGTTTTCTGATAGAGTAGAAGATGTAGGATTGCATAAGGGGGCTTTATACTTCGAGAATCTATGGGAAATTAAAAAGAAAAGTAAATACAAACCGTGGTTTTATAGATTTAAAAGGATTTGTTGGGATAATTTATTTTTTCCTGTTATAGATTGGTATCCCTGACCTCCACTGCCACGTAACCTAGGCGACTTTTGTTTAAAAATTACTTACCTTTGTTCTGTTGTTTTTCTCACCATGTAAAGCACGTTTTAATCGACATAATATACATATTCCCTATCTTCTGGTACATTTCAAAAGGTAATTTGCGCACCTCAAACCCTAAAAGGTTATGGGCCCAGTTCTCAATTATGCGAGGAATAGTTTTCGGTGAATAGTAAAGTGTAACAACGTATCAAAATCTCGAAACTTGAGAAACCAACCTTTTGAAGTTATCTCCCTGCTTTTGTGCGACCGTGGAAAATATAACCGTCAAAATGGAAAGCGAGTTGTCGAGAGTGAACAAATTCATGAATATCGAGAACTGGGGAATCTGGAAATTTCAGATAAAAGTTCTATTCAACGCGCATGGAGCGTTGAACGTTGTCTTAGGAATAGATCAAAAACCAGCAGTCCTCGGGGAAAGATGAAGCAGAAGCGATGCGACGACACAAAGAATAATCGACAATGTGAGGAAACAATAGAACATGTAATGTTCGAATGTTCCTTATACAATGTACAAAGACTGAACCTGTATGGAAAAATAGGAAAAGAAATTGAAGAAAATAATTCAAATATCTATAGTTTGCTAGCATTAGACAAATATCTATAGTTAGGGCAATCGTATCCTTCTTAGAGGAATCCTATCTAACAATGTAACAAAAGAACACTTTTGTGTAGATTAGCGAATAAGAAAAGATACGGCAAAGTTGCCCGGTAAAGTTATAAATTTAAAATAGGAAATAGTTTAATCTAAAGCAATTAGAGGTCGTTGGTCTGCAATGGTAGAGTATTAAAGAGGAAAACAAAACAGTTAGGTTAAGTTATGTAATATAGCAAATGGAAGTAGTAATTGTAAGAAATTATAGATTAAGTATTATATGTTTTATTAATATATGCAACAGTATGTAACCAAAATACTTTGTATTCTCAAGAAAAGTGTAATCTGTCCGACAGGACAACACTATAATACAGAAAACAAACAAACAAATTTAAATTTTGCACCTACTAATCGCCGGAAAACGTTTATAACTCTTTAATTTCAATCGAAATCGTATCAACAACGGTTCTTGAATGTTGCGAATGATCTATACTGTCTTCCACGAGTACCAAGGTCCATTATTTATATGCAAAAAGTTAATAAACCATAGAGTAAAGCGAATATTTCTAACGAAGTAACGCGTAGTCAAGACTTGAAACCTTCGATGATCGTTTAATAAAAATCGAGATGCTAACAGAAATTTTTCTTGAATCTTAGAACGATCTATACTATTCTCTATGAGTCGTAAAAGTTAATAATTCATTTATAGAATGTAGCAAACAATCGGGCGAAGCGAAAATTCTCACTGAAATCCTTAATGATTGCTTAATAACTATAAAAATCGTGACAAGAATGATCCTTGAGAGTTACTATCGTTCTATGTACTGCTATACTACTATTTATCATCAATGGACAAACCAATAAATTATTAACTAATTATGATGGATTCTGAGTAAAAAAAAAAACACCTTAACACTTTATTTATCGGGAGCCTATTTATAGGCCTTTTAATTCCAGTATTTAGCTTTCCGAATTTATTTACTGTTTTGATGGTTGTCTACTTACGATGTTCAGTTTTTGGAAACAGACTTGGCTTTCAATATACCTAGTAATAGTATGAAGGAATTATTGGCAGCCTAAATTGGCATATGCTACTGTAAAAAATTCTTTTTTGAATTAAAGACTGTTTCTAAATTGCCCGGTAGATAAAGTGTTAACGACACTTTATTCGATTGTTCGATAACATCTCTCGTTCGTTAATAACAATATTTTATTTGATATTTTTTTTCGCAATAGGATAACGACATTCTTATTGAATAAAACGCCAATTGATTTATTTACTTCAGTTCATTCGAACGGTAGAAATCAAGTCAACCAACGGCTAATCTTTTCATTACGGTGTCATGAACAACGGGCTGTAACATTTATATTTTTCGATAAATCTTTCCATAAAAATGTGTATATCTTTCTAAAATAATACTTGAGACGTGTGTAACATTTTAAATTAAAATCTTGCATACTTTATGAAAACAAAAATGATAAAGAAGCCACACTTTTGGCGCGGAAGAAGGAATTCCCCATTTAATATAATTATAATTGTTATACGGTGAAAATCAAAATTTCGAAAAACATGTATCCTTAAATTTAACCTGTAGTTTACACATGAATTTTCACGAATGAGATACAATATTTAGTAACATAAATTAACAGAAAAAGATATTTTATTAAAAAGTAAATTATTTAAATAAATGAATAAATAAACAATTTCTTTTGGCATGAGTGAATTACCCATTCAAAAACGCATATTTTTGAAAGAAAATTTTTGTCCAAACTCCTCTAGTTTTCAAGATATTTAAAAAAACATGGTATTCACCCCCCTCTTTAGGGGCTATTTTCACCTCTTCAATATGGACGATTGCCGATAAAAAAATACGTGTCAAATATTTTTTTGAGAACTACCTACCACGTAAATTTTATCAAAATCGGTCTGTGACAATTGGATATGTTCCCTTGTTAGATCTTCTCACCTTCAAGTGTTCTATATTCATTATCAAGTCTTTTTTTGTAATTTTGTTTTCGTTTTCAATCTTTTATAACTAATTATCATCAAGCTGTTTTCCCTGCACTCGGGATAATTAATTAATTAAGCAGATTAAACAGATTAATTAACATATCATTTTTCACGTTCTAGGCAATGTTAAATTTCGCCAATCGCAATTTATTGAAGAAATGTACCAGGGCGATGCAACATTACTCATAATATCGAAGCCAGTGAAAGAGTACGTATTTCTCTAAATATCGTGCAAGGTTTAATACAAACGTGTATTTTTGCGTGTACATAGTATGTGCCACATACATAGGATTATCGAGCGAAACGAATAA